TTTGAAAAAAAAATTGACGAGCAAGTAAATAAATATGAAACTCTAAACAGATAATTTTTCAACTGATCAAATATTAGGCCCGGTTTTGGTTTATTTATTATTTAGGCCGCACTTTGTACCGGAGCTGTGGATATAAAATCTGGATCATTAGAATATCCCTGAAAATTATAATAAAAATTTTTTTAGAGGATTTAAAACAGAAAAAAATACAATGATAATTATGATGATCTAATATAATTAACTACTCTCTTTTTAAAATAAAAAAATTTTATATTTAAATGTGATTTATTGACCTTCAAAGTATTTAAAAAAGCACATTTTATTTGGATTAAGCCATTTAATTATAGATTATTAGATGACAATAATAATAAATGTATTAATATAAAATGTATATAATGATCTTCAAAAAAATTTTTAGAAATAAAAAAAAGTATAATCAAAAATTTCGACACAGGGTCTGGATCAGGGTTGCCAAGTAAAATTATTCTATTGTGATGGATTATTTTTTTAAAAAATTGGGTGGTTTCCCTCAAACCCCTTTTTTCCCGGCCTGTTAAGCTAATTAATGAGCTAAAAAATTTTACTACTGATATATTTTTAAACTATATATAAAATATAGTAAAAAAATTTAAATGGCTATTTTATTTACTGTACAAAACAATAATAAAAATGTGATTCTGAATGCACTCTATTAAACTAATAACTAGTTTTAAAAATGACATAAACACTATTGTGGAGTCAGACAAACCAAAATTTCAAATAATAGAGATTATTTGCAGCAGAACGTGAATTTAAAGATTATGTATGAAATTATTTAAACAAGTGTAAAGCATACTAAATTCGTTTTATTGCATGCCAACCAAGATATATTCAATTATGATTTAGGATTTAATCAACCCAAAAAGGATAAATGTGTCATCTGTGAGGGGCATATATGTAAAACAAACCCTATAATGATTTTACAATTAATTATTAAAAACATAAAGAAAATATAAATACTTCAAGGGAGCAAGAAAGAGCAGATGGGAATAATGACAAAGATGTCGACATGATATGTTTACCCTAAATGTTTTCACATAAATATCTCATCATTTTTTATTCGAAAATTAAAAGTTATAATCTAACGGTGCACTGCAATATTAGTAAAAGGGCATATTGAACGGTATGGTCATAAGGATATTAGAACGCAGCGGAAACGATATGGCCAAAAAGTTTTTCAAAACCCAATTTTTCAAGATATTCCGTATATTAAAGAAATTATTTTGTGGTCAGATTCGTGCGTCTTTTCTTTGATTCACACTTTTTGATAAATTATTTCACAATTGGAGTTATTGCGCAAATATTTTTGAAATAAGAAGGGATATTTAAATTAAATGTATACAATAAATCGACAACATACACAGCCATATCGAAAGGAATATTTTGAATTTTTTTTTATGATATGAAATAAAGTTATTTATTTGTTTTTACAGATACTTTCTAAAAATAAAATAAATTAACAGTCCCGTAGGCTTGTTGGGATTATTATTATTATCAATTGTCAATAGATCAAATCTTTTCAAGGATTATTATCTAAAAAATGCGACGATTTTTCAGAATACCAAATATTTCACAGATTTTTAACTATCCCGTTTGTATCAAGCAAGCAGATACAATTATAGTATCCAAATTCCTTATTATAAAACTAATCATCAAGATCAAATGCTATTAAGCCATTCTATAAAATAAGTCCAAGACTTAAAAATAAAAAAAGACTAATGTAATGAAATCGAATAATACCAAATTTTATTTATATAAAATTAATTTATAAAATTATTGAAAAAAAATTAAAATGTGGGAGATTTTATGGTAAATTTTGAAGTATATATTTTGGAAATTTTAAAACATGTGGTAGCTTATTTGATGGTGGTAGATTTAAACTTTTAAATTTAAAAATTGGGGTATTCTGCTAACCAATATCATAGCTTAGCAACCTTAGTTTAGATATTAATAATTTTACCACTTATGGTCAAGATCTCCAATTTTTGAATTTTGTTTTTCAAACTAATATCTAACTATAGTTTTTGGCGGTTACATTTTTGCTAAACTTAAAGATCCTTAATAAATTTGAAATGAAACTAAATATGACACAGACATATGAATACTCTAAACAAAACAAAAACTTGACAAAAATTATAATTGGAAGAAAAATGATCTTAAGTTTATTTTCATTTTTTCAAACTGTAACTAGTTAATTTAACAACCTACAAAAAATATTTATATTCATAATAATAAGTTATATTCTGGAAATAACTTGAACGTTTATATGATTAAAAAAATTCATATAAACTAATCTATAATTATAATTATTATAATTTGTAAGAAAATGAATATAAATGTTTTAGAAACTATTTTTCCCCGAAATATATATTTAATAATTATAATCTCCATGAATAGCAAATTCGATGCAAAAGTAGATTTTATATTTGGATAGTAAGATTTATATATAGGCCCGTGTAAGCGCGGAGCATTTATAAATAAAAAAAAACTGAGCCTTTTGATTACGGTTATGCCATCTTGTTGACACTATAAAAATTTAATTTTATACTAAGAAGAAAAAGTTTATGTGGAAGGGACCCTTGATACAATTTTAGACCCATTTTCGACCAAGAATGGAGTTTTTAAAACCCTATATAATAAATAAACAAGCAACTTACTTTCAAATTTAAGATTAAAATATTCACAATTTTTTTTCAGAAACCTGAAGAATAAAGTCCGACCCAAATTTTTTAAATTTTTTCAATTAACCTAAATAATTTTGAGTGTATTTTGATAGATAAGCTAGCTAATAAATGTTTAAATCTATCAAGTACTGGCTGAGATTTACACAGCACATATTTCTTTTTAAAATTGCCCAAAAAAAGCAAACTAGTTTATATAAATCTCCATCCATAGAGACTATCCTTTCATCTTCCGCCTTTTTAAATTATAATTTTTTCCCCAAAAGTAAAAAAATTTTGAAAAGAGGGAAATATTAAGAAAAATTACAAAAATTATATATATTTTTATGATATAATTTTCATAAAATTCATTAATATGAGGATTGCTAAAGGCAGACACGAATGTAAAAAACATAATAAAGTATATTCAAATAAAAATAATTAATTCCTGAGGTTTTTTTTGATAGGTAAGAAAATATTTGAGCGCTATTACATTTTTTTTTTAGTTTGCCTCATGGGGTTTTGTTAATTTCTATTTTTTATTCAAATAATATTATTAATATTCATAATTATTTTGTTTCAAAAGTTGGGTATCCATTTTTATTTTTGCTATCGAAACCGAAACCAATAAATTTTTGAAAAATAAATATATTTATTATAACATGATTAAAAAAGAAATTTACAAAATATCAAAAATAAATTATACACATAAATTATAGTATGGGAAATTAATTTTATAGATGATCATTAAAAATTTCCAAAGAATTGTTATAAAAGGCATTACATAAAAATTACAAAAAATATAATTAAAGTTAATTATCTATTCTAACCGCAAAAAATTTCTACATAAAATGTTTTCCAAAAATAAAATGACATTAATTTTTTATAAGGCTAATTTAGTAATAATAGCAGGAAAAAACTATAAAAATATTCCGGGCAAAAAATTTATTTATCAAGTTTTTTTTATGAATTTCAAATAATAATCATAATTGATAAACTTTTGATATTGTCGACAATTTTCATTTTAAATGTTGAAACATTTAAGTCAGAAATATATAATATCCCTTTCGATGCTCATTACTTATCATATTTGTTTTTATATAATATTGGATGGTATAAAAATTAAGACAAATTTAATTCGCTTCAACCAAATTTAATCATTGTAAATCTAAATATTATCATTGATACCTTAAAAATTAAGCTACAAATCAAAAAAAATTGGAGCTTCTTAGTCTACAATTGATGGGTTTTTACCAGAAAGCCCGGAAACCCAATGTCTTAAAAAAATTTAACCCCACATACTCGTGCATTTTTTTAAAATAATTTAATCCCGACAACCACCCTATATTTGATTTTTAACCAGCCCGTCCAAAGTATAGGCGGGCGTTACTTCTTACCTCACATAGTGTGGGCGATATTTGAGATTAATTAGAGGTCGATTTTTTGTCAATATGATAAATGCTCGGATTAGATGTAAATACAAATGAGTTAAATGGCAAGCATCATTTAAAACCAAGAAAAGCATACATTTTGATTTGTATTTTGACAATTTTTAGGTATGAATTATATTAAATTATAAAAAATATCAATCTTGAGCAGATTTAATAGGATTTATTATTGGCGCAAATTGCCTATGACCATTTTGAACATGTTGTTCATTGGATCTATTCTTCTCCTAGCAATTTTTTTTAAATTTTGTTACAGACTACACACAAAAAAACATATTATATTTTTTTAGGAAGACGAGCTTATTATCTCATCCCTTTTTGTTTACTAATTCACCCCTTGCCACTCAAGCCCAGGGGTGGTGATCGACTTGATATCTCTTATACGACTTTTCCATACAAGCCAAAAACCTGGGAAGTTTCATTGGAAGGTTATAACTGTTAAATATATTATCAATTTTATAAAATTTAGATAAGTATTTATTTTTTAATTAGGGAGGTATTAAAATCGTTTTTTATCATTTCAAAAAAAACTATAGATAACAGGTATTAAAAACATATTTACAAAAATTTTTAGACGTCTCTTAGGAGTAAAAAGTTATGTAAATTTTCTTAATATTCCTGCTTGCCATTTTCCTCGGTCTCCCCTACATACTTTATCTTATTCAACCAACATTGACCAGAACAATGATATCGTTTTCTTATATTTCTTTCTCTTATATTTCTTTCCTTCTTATCTTTGGTTCTTTCATTTTTCCTTTCTTTCTTTTTCTTTCTTTCTTTCTTTTCTTTCTTTCTTTCTTTTTTTCTTTCTTTATAGTGGTTGGACAAATTAAAATTTAAACGAAAAATAAACTTGATTAAGTTTGCGATTCTCTTTAGCATAACCGACTTCCAGATATACCTCGTTTCGAATAGCTACGAACTCCTCGTATTTATCTATAATGGTTTGATCACTCAGTCTGTCGGGGATATTATCCGTAATATCTTCGATATCGTCATTATCATCATAATTATTGCAATTATTCAAGGTTCCGGAGCCATTTTCTTTGTCGTTTCGTTTATTGCCGTTGAAGGTTAGGTATTTGCAATACGCCTGACTGAAATCTTGTTTAGGCAATTGCAGGTTGAGCTGTTGTTGCCTGTACCTCTCCCCTGCGCTGCCTATCCGCGGCACTTTGTTGTTAGGTAATTGGGACATGTATTCCTCTACCTCGTATTAAATAAATATAATTATGGTTTTGTATTATAAATCCGTCGGTGACATTTTAGGAGAGCAGGGAGTTCCAAACCATCTGAAGAGTTTCGCTAGCCCCTGAATTTTTTAATTGGGAGCCCTCTAAAAATTTGTAATTGTGCCATCCTTTTTTTGTGATTTTGGATTTGATTTCTTTTTCTTCTAATTCTAGATTTTGGTTTTAAAAAAAGTTGAAGGGCTAGCGACGCCATTGTATTTTTTAATGATTATTTTTAAGTAATCCACCAAATCAAGCTTTCTTTTTGTGTCCAAAATTAAATCTTAATGTTTGAATATAATGTTAGGGTAAAAATTAATAGTTTAGATTTAAATTTTAAAAATAGTTCTTATAATAAACCAGTTCGCCAGAAATTTAAGAATTATTGCGTACAATTACTAATATTTTTTTTAAAATAATTATTTTTTCGATCATTATAGATAACAGCAGAATAATTAATTAATTAATATGTCCTATAACCTGGAAATTTTCTTTATAAAAAATAATATTTTAGTGAATCAAAGTGAATAAGATATTGGCCATATGTGATACCTCAATGCTCAAGTAACGCAAGGCAAGGATGAAAGCTATCGAGATAACACATATAATCATCCCAATTATTGTGATCTCAAAGTAATTTTTGTATTTAAGTTATCATTTTGGTTAAATTATAAGTCAGAAAATGTTTTTATTTTATGGATTATTCAGATAAAGAGGGGCAAACGGCAGTAATCTGATATAGCATCCTTGGCACTTGTGCTCGCATATAAAATAATGGGGGTTTGACCTTCTGTAACAGCAGAAAATGTTATTCACAGATAATAATTTTTTATGTCAATTTTATAAGATTTCGACAAAGCCCCATTTATATATTTTTTTTAATTATTTCTTTAAACATTATATTTAATCAATTTTCTTCGAGAATTAATGTTAAATAAGATAATTACATTATTTTTTAAAAAATAATATATTATAAATTATTTAATCGGTATAATAAAGATTTATCGGAAATATTTAAGATATTTTATTTATAAAATCTTCTCTAATTTCTCCATTGTAAAAAAACCTTTTTTAATTATATTATAACGAAAACTTTTGATAAAACGACAATTCAAAATGGGTTTAGTTATGGCCACGTGATCTATACATGCAAATAAAATCATTCTATAATTGATTTTTATAATTTAAAAAAGTCAAAATGGTCATTGGGGCGTGTAATTTTTACCTAGAGGACATTCATATTAGACCAGGTTTTACCGTGTCTTTGAAATAATAAGTATATTATGAAATTTAATTCCTTTATTATCTTTCATACTCTCTCTCCTCTTATACATTTTTTTAAAGTCGTAAAATAAAAGAACAAATTAAATTTATACATAAAATTAATTATAGTTATTATAAAATAAATAAAAATTAATTCGTCTTTTATTATAAATAAATATATTATTTTTTATATTTGATTAAATTTGGCGTGGGGTGGGACATGACTAGGCAATCCCATTTTGATCAAAAATTTTAAAATGAACAGTTATACCAATTTTACTCTAGTATACCAGAAAAAAATTTAAATCTTTATTAGGATATAGAATCGATATAAAGGTTCAATTCTAGTTTATAGCCGGTGTCACATTTGAGGTCATATCATTGAGTAGAGTATGGGACGTGGAGGGGACGAGGGTTAAGATATGGTGAGCGGAGCAATGTGGAGGAATCACTAAAAATAAACGAGGTGACACATGATAATAAATCTATCCTTTATATTAGAGGGGTCAGGGGATAGATGAACCTTAAAGACTGGTGAGGAAAAGAATCTAAAATAAAAAAGTACACAGCGAATGACACATATCAATATAGAATCTTTACTTCGTTCCAATCCAACCACGTTATTCAGTTAATATATAATAAATAATAAGTAGGTCTTAGTATAATAAATTTTGGTCGGTATTTAGCAGATTAGGTTATTATTTAGAATATTGCTATATGTTGACTTTGCAGTATCTATCATTAACCATATTTATGTTTGTTGATTTCGCTTTGAAAATTCATATAGGGTTTTCCGGTTGTTTAAGGTTTTTATAAGTTTTTAATATAATCATGCATTATATATTTTATAATTTGTCCAAAATATTGATAAAAATATTTTTAAAACAATTTAAGAAAATGAGTTGAATAACATGAATAAGAAATAATAGAGTATCTAATATAATAACTACAATTTCAAAACCCTGTATCTAAGTACAAATACGTTTTTAGACGATGTATCTGTATCTAGATTTATTTTTAGATAATGTATTCGTATCTATATTCATTTAAGTATCTTCTTGAAACTGGTATCATAAATTTATAAATGTATTAGTAAAAAAAATTATTTATATTTGAACCAGGTTTAACTGGTTCGAAAATATTTATAACGTTTCGATTATTTCCTTTCAAAATACTCTTATAACGGTTCGGTTACGGTTCGAAAATTTATAACAGCCTGTATCTTAGGTTTCGGTTAGGTTAGACACCTTTATTTTTATTTACAATTAATTATATTCTAGTATACATAACATAATATAGTATTATATGAAATGGAAATATAATTTCAACTGTTTGAATCTGGAACTCTTGAAACCGGAACAATCCTTTTGAGTTTTTGAAAATTAATAACAGTTTGGAATCGGAAGTACAACTTTACGGGATCACAAAATTATTTTAATTTTTAAAGCCCATTTGGGGGGGGGGATCTGATATGATGGGGTGGAATTCCATCTATGCCCCTCCGTGTGGTTATGCTAATAGTTTTATCACGTTAGATAGGCTTCAATGATATCCAGAAAAAATTATAAAAATATTATTCAAAACATATCAGTGTTATTATATAATAAATATCTAATTTATACAGTTTAAAATTTATATAAATAATGATTTTATGGACCATGTGTTGTGGTATACTATATCGTCGATCTCGATACGATATAGTATGTAATTCAATGACTCATCTTTATTATTATTTTATTTGTGAAACATTAATTTACTTTTTAAATACTACAATGTATATGATAGTTAGAGGCTGGTCTAACCCGGCCCAGTCCGAAACCTTGTGTTGGGCAGGATAGGAAAAAACGATTTTCGGGCCAGGCAGGACAACTTTATCAAAATATCTTCGCCGGGCAGAAATTTTTAAAATGTTTAAAGTTGATATTTAAGCAATTTTTGCCATTTTCCTGCATAAAAAATGGTAGGGGGGGGGGGCGGTTAAATTGTACAAAATATATTTTACGGATTAGGTTCACCCGAAATATAATAGCTAGGCTGCCTCAGCCTCTAATAATAGTAATTTTATTGTTAAATAACATGTGATTTGAAAAATGATATCAAACACTTTAGCAAGAACATCGATATATAAAATGGATATTTTCTAGATGAGAGTAACTAATTTTAAATAATAAATCAAGAGTCGGCAAGTTTAAAAATTTTTTTTAATCACTTTAAAAGCACGTAAATTTTAATAATTTATCTATTTCTATCTATAATATCATTTTCATCATAAATAGAATAATTTTAACATATTTTAACATATGATCCGAGATTTAAAAAAAATAATAATATTTTATTAACTCATCATTTTAATTTTATAAAACAAATGATATTCCATTCGCTTTATTTTACAATAAAATTCATTATGTTTTTTTTATTCCCAGATTTTACGTTTATAAATTATTTTAAATGTATTAGTTAATTAAATTCTCATTATAATGCAATTTAGAATTGGGAAATTTATACTCGGTTTATGGAAAGCAGAATAAAATGAAAATATTGTCAATAATCATATTTGATTGACAAAAAAAATGTTATTAAAACTTTAACCGGATATAGAAGGACCATTTATTTAAAATGCCAAAAGTATGAGATTTTGTAAATTATATTCTGGGATCGGAAATCAAAAGGGTATTGTTAGCGAAGAAGGGTATATTAAAGATCCATACAGCTCGGCAGGTGAGTCTAACCGGGTAATTTGCGCAAAATATTTTTACGAGCATAGCAGCTTTCTAACTAATGTTAATGTATTGTGTATAATATATTTTTATAACTAAACCCTTATATAAACTTAACATTTTTTCTTATATGTAAAAAAAAATTCGGTAAATCTTTTAAATAAATATTTTTTTATTTATTAGAGAATAGCAAAATAAATATTTAATTTTTAAAGTTAAACACGTTTAGGTTTTCCTAAATTTAATTAATTGCAAAAAAATTTTGAAAAAAATTAATATATATTTGAGATGAAATGACAAATAATTTTATTTATATTTTTTTGTTAGTCCCCTTAAAATAACTCATTTTATATAACATATTCCCCCCCCCCCATATTTTATTATACATTTTTCAATAAAATGATTCTAATTAAATTACACTAAAAAAAGCTAATGACATTATTTACGGTTTTTCCCAACATTTCATGATCAAAAGTCTGTGATAGTTTAAAACCTTGGTCCCTTTCAATTTACGATATTATATTTTATACCATAAAATTTTCCCCTATTTATAAATACGAAGGGAAAAGGCCTCCCTCCCCTTTTATAAATTTTATATAAAATTTTTGATCTTCGCGCCCCTTTCTTTACCTACTTGGGCTCTCCCGTTATTCAAATAAGAGATCGTTACGCCTAAGGCTAAGAATTATTATATTCTAAATCTAAAAAAATTTAAGACCGAGTAATAAGAACAAAAAAATGGTAAATAGTCAGTTTAAAAAAAAAAAATACTATTCCATCTAAATCGCAGTATATGTTGGTTAACAACTCAAATGATAACATTTTAATGCGATATTTATATAATTTCCTTTCTACATTAAATTAAGTACGATGAGTGTGGCTAAACGATTTCACAGCTGTGTTATTTATTTTGTTATGTAAGCGTCGCGCTATATAAAATGAAGCCTTACTTTTGTCATTGTATTTTTCGACATCGATAAATAGTATTTATTAATTTTTTTAAGTAATAAATAACCTTCGCACTGCATAGCATTTATTTATGAACAAAAAAAGAATAATTATTAATTAAGGGGTTTTTCCTTTTAACAATGGTATAATAATTTTCTTAGCAAAATAATTATAGTTTATTATTTCGCTATTGCCTTGAGAGAGATGAATTTATAATATGATCTAATCCAATAAAATAGTTTTTTCAAGAATCAAAGATTTGGCATATAATATGGTATAGATTGGATGGGTATTTATTTGAAAAATAAGTATAAATATAATCAGTGTTGCCTTCTCTACTGTTTAAGAAGTGAGCAGGCAACTTTGAAAAATGTTTTTATTAAATTAGACGACGCAATTCCTTGCAAATGACATCATTGGTTATCGATTAACTTAAAATAACCACAAGCGTTTTTTTCGTTAAGTTGATGGGCCGTAGCCACGGGGGGGGGCCTCTTTCAAAAACATTTTTGCCCCACCCCAAACCTTGCCCCTTCGAAAAAAATTTTGGCCCTCAAATTTAAAAAAAAATTTTATTTCGTTATTAAATTTAAATTCACCATTAACGATTAAATTTAAATGAAAATACAACAAAATTTTTATAAAAATATTATTTATTTGATTTATACATAATAAACAAGTGAAAACCTGAGCATAATTATTCATTATATATTTTTTTAGAAATACAAGAAAATTTAATAGGAATCTTTAATTTACAATATTTTTCTGCTGAAAGCATTACTAATTGTATTTTAAAGCGACAATGAATTAAATATTAATTCATCGAATATAATAAGCCAGGCGTATGATGTGTAAACCTCATATCTGGCAGAAATGGAGGAGTACAAATGTTTCAAAAAAAATTAATAAAAAAGTGCCTTATATACATTGCTACAACTACAAGTTGTATTTTGTGGTTTACAAATGATTATTTCTAATTTTTTAATTTATCTAATCATTGTATAATTGTTTTAGTCGTTTTAACGTATCATACAGGGCCTTACTCTTAAGAGACTTTTAGACCAGAGGTGGAGTGGTCATTTTGGAACTCTCGTATCAAGAATTTCTATTGGTGAAGTATTATTTTACTTTTCTAATAGAACTCTTAACTTAAAGGTCCACTCATAATTCAGTCGAAGCCTGTGGTCTTCTATCTCAATGCGTTAATATAAATTACATTATATTGGCCAATTTAATTTATGAGGTATTGTTAACAATAGATCCACTAAATAAGTATCTACAGTCAGTAGGTACTAATATAGTGGTTGATAAAAATTGTGTTGATTTCACAATTAATATATTAAAAAATAAAAGAAGTAATAATTCTTTTGACTTGATAAGAATTAAGGCTGAGAAATTTATATCAAAATTATCGCATCCAAATCATCAAGGGTACCTAAAATGCTTATAAATCTTCAAAATTTTTAGTCGATACCAAATTGCAATTTGATTGTGAAAAGGACTTCAATTGGAGTTTTTTAAAAAAGAAATTGTAAAATTATTGATTATTTTGTAGATAGATTTACACAAGATGATTATAATCTTCTATCATGTAATACATTATCCCCCCTTGACCCTGATTATTTTATATCAGATAAAATGACCCCAATAGAATCATTATCAAACTTAAATATGGAAACATTACTTCATGAAATGAAAAAATAGCAAAAGGAAGCTGCAGAAGTTAAAGAAACATAATTTTGAAAATATTGATGTATCAACGGCTTTTTGTGTTTCTCTACACTAAAGAGAGTTTTATCGAGCACTAGGGAATCGATGAAATATCGACGTAAACAAAATTTAATATTAATGGCTTATGGAAAAAAGAATAATACAGAATTTAACTTTTAATTTAATTATGTTAAAATTTAAAATAAAAATCGTCGTTTACAAATTTTTAATAAAAATAGAGCAAAATGAAAGCCTTTTCATAAAAATATTGGCTCCCTAAGTAAACAATTGGCCCCCCAGCTGAAAATTCTTGGCTACGTCCCAGCTGAAGGGGGGGGGGGGGTATAGCATTATTAGGTTAGTTTTATTCCACATAAATTTTATTGGAGGTATTTAACTCCATACATTGCAGATCTTTAGTTATGTTATTTTTTTAATAATAATTTTGATTTCCTTAATTTTTTATATAAATATGTTTTTTTCTAAAAATTTTGAATTATAAATCATTATTTTAAAAAAAATTATTAACTTTTACATATTTTCCTTTCAAATTATTGTTCATAATGATATGTGTACATTTTTTGGCGAGAGGAAGGCGGTAGGTATGTAAGTACAATTATTATTATATCTAGTATGATATTTACTAGAACAGACAAATTTCAGAAGAGAGCCACTCCCCTAAGTTACGCCAATGCATTATACCTAATTTTAAAACTAAATGAACAAATTCGGAATTTATCCTCATAACAAGTAAACATTATATTTGGTGATATATAAATAGGCGTATCCAGGATTTTACTAGAGGGCACTATTAGGTGGAATTTTTCCCCATAAATTTTATTGGTGATCTCTAGGTCCAGGCCTTTGACTATATTATTTTTTCTAAAAAATTTGATAGTCGTTATTTTAAAAGTTTATTAACTTTTACTAATTTTTCTTTCAATTCTTTCTTATAATGATATATTGTAGAAAATTTTGGGGGAGGGGGGAGATAAAGGGTGTGTGGGGGAGGGGGATTTTATTCCCTTAAGATGATCTGAGCAAGCAAATTTGCGATAGGTTGATTTCCCCTCTAATGCGCCTAAATATATAATATTATCACTAGCGTCGTAAAGGTGTGGTGCAGAAGGGTTTAAAATTTATCTTGGATATGATTTATATTTTTTGAAATTTTTTTTATAAAATTATCTTTTTTTGGTAATTTTAGATAGAATATTTACTATTTTTGCTAAATTTTGAGAATTTTTTAAAAAGTGAAGCCATATAGGTTGTAAAAACTAATGACGCCATTAATCATAGGTTATACTGATAAAGGTTTCTAATGTGATTTGAAATCGAAAATTTTTACATTAATGTAAATTTTTTAGGAAAATAGAACAATTTTATAACGATAAAAAGGCTATTAAAATTTAATTATGAAGCATCAAGAAAAAAAATGCTACATTCAAATTTAAAATGAATATTAGATAAAAATCTTCATAAAAGGGAGTTTAAAATTTATAAATAATTATCATTATTCAATTGAAATTATTTTACTTGCATTTTATTAAGTCCCGGAGGTGCCCAAGTATATAGAGAAAGTTTTTCGGTCTCTTCATATCTTTTTCCTTCGTTTAAAATTTTTTTATCTTCGCTTGTAATTTTCATAATTTTTTATAATAATATTAATGAATCATATGGATTAGCAGACGATATTATTATGATATAAAATAAAACCACACGGAAAAAGAGTGTAATAATATTTTTAAATAAAATTTATATAAATGAATTCATTATATTTATCTATTTTTTAAAAATAATATAATATTATTATATTGTATACTATTCTATTTTTATAACGTATTATGATATAAAGCATAAATTACGATATTAGGCATAAATAGTCAATATTTTTAATATAAAGATTATAATCGAATATATTTTGGGATATATATATAATAATGAAAATGTTATCATAGTTAGGGGGTCAATTTAATAAAAAAAATAGACTTACAATTTTATAAAAGTATTTTTTATATTAAGAAAAAACCATTGAGCTTAACATTATCGACTATATTTAACTGTAGAATAATAAAAAATTAATAATCACCAAATTAAAAAAGACGATTTATCAAGGAAAGCCATATTCAAATAGATGCATATTTTGTTAATAATTTTTTAAATTGATGAGCAATCTGTTTAGTTAAATATTATGAAGTAAAAATAGGATTACATCAAAGATTGATTCTGCGCTTGTTATAAACTATCCTGATAATGAACGTGATTTCTGAATAGAGCAACTGACTTCTATAGGAGCTCATAACCTTGTGTAAAAAAAATACAGAGTGGTGTAATTGAAGAATGAAATTATTAGATGAAATAGCTATGGACGCAAAGGGTTTATAAATAAATGTAGAAAAGACATAGGTATTTTGGCATTGTTATAATATCAGATTTATATAATAGCACAAATATAATTTAATTTAAATTATTTGACGTTTATTTATATTAAAAAGATACATTTATTACATTCATCCACTCAATTATTTACTTATGTTATTCACATTAAGTTATAAATTGTACTGTAATTGAAATCACGTTTAACCTCGCGAATTTTATTTTAACTTAGATTTATTAATAATTGAAATATCTAGTTTTTAGGGATTAGCTTGGAGTGTGGTAGTATTGAGAATTGGTTCGATTTATTGGAATTGAATTAACAAAGGCTGAATCGGATCGATAATATTTTATAACGAATTTCCAAAATATAAATTATCTTCCTATGCAAAATACCTCAAATAATATAATACTAACTTGTATATCTCATGTTAAATCCAAAATCAATCATTCAATTAACCAAATAAACATAATAAAAAATAAACATTTACATATTATTTAAAAATAATATAATAACACATTTAATTATTATTTGAAAATAATCTAACAACATCCATCAATTAAAATAAAAAAAAGAAACAACAAAAAAAAACTCTAGCATTCAATAAAATTTATAAAACATTGTAAGTGATAAGATATTGAAATAATATTTTTTTTTTAGTTTTTTTTAAAAGGGACTACCATCAATAAATACATTATCATGGGGAAGGGGCTAAACTATTGGGGAATAGGGTTAATGTATTATTATAATATCGTTGTTTCCTTATTATGTAATGCAATCAATAAATACATCATGGGGAACGGACTAAATATATTGGGGACGAGGGTAATTGTATTATCATTATTGTTATTACCTTATTATGGAATACAACCAAAAAATACATTATAATGAGGAAGGGACTAAATATATTGGGGAAGGTATATGAGATTATTTATAACTGTAAGAATAAAGAGTATGCAGAAATTACAAAATCTTGATTATAACACAACATAAACGAAATGCATGATTAGTATTGAAAATATTATAAACAATTTCAAGATCTCTCTCTAATTTGATTGATGTGCGCTAACGCAACCTTATGATCTATCATGATTTCCCACATGACACCCAATAACAGTCCGCACATGCCAATCTTAATTTGTACCCATTTTCACAAAAACAGAGTTACCTAAAGTTCATTCTGTACAATTAATTCTTTTAAAAATGATATATAGGAGGTGGTGTATATATGCACCGTTAACCAGTAATGGGTAAGCTCAGGCCTAACATCACAGTTATTATTCTCTAATAAACTCTATTTCCATATCAATTCCCTACCCATTAATCTAGACGCAGGTGGCAATTTTGTTATCGAATGCGCCGCATTGCGATAATTTAATAAAACATCTGTTAACTTAATCACATCCTAACCCGTTAATTTGTAAATCATATTTTTAGCTGTGCGTAAAGCTCTTTCCACCATTCCATTATATGAGGGGTTTTATGCAGTAGTAAATATATGAATAATACCTTTATTTTGCAAAAAATATTTAAATTTATAAGACATAAATAATGGTATATCATCTGATACCAATTCTACTGGTTAACCGATAGAAATAACATTATTCAATTCAATTATAGTGGTAATGGTATTAATATTTTTAACCTTGATAATTTCCAGCCATCAGTACCCATCAATAATTATCAACCCATAAAAATTCTTAATAGGTCCAAAAAAATTAATGTAAATTCGATACCAAGGTTTATTTGGCTGCACCCAGTGATTTTGCCTAACTCTTGGTAATGTAGGTGTATTAATCACACGCATATTACACCTAAACACCATTTTCTTAATGTCTTTAATAACTATTGGCCACAAAATATATCTTTTCATAGTATCTGTTGGATTATGCAAAGTATATTTATGGAACAAAAATAATTTAAATGATGGATTTTATTTTATGTGTTTTATTTCTGCGAAAAATTATATTTGTATATGCAAAACAAATTGTACATTTTTTTATAGTTTATGTAACAAAATTAAGTTAAATGATGGATTTTATTTTATGTATTTATTTCTTTCAAAAATTATTATTTTAATATGCAAATACATATAATGTTTTTTGGCTATATAAATAGCTAAGAAAAATTGTTTTTTATACACACATACAATCGGATGACATTTTGAAAATAAAATTAATAAAAAAAAGGGAAAGAGTTAATAAAAAAAAGGTAAATATACAATTTGATAAATTAGAATTATTGAGAGGAATTACATTATATATTTTAGGTACTCAAGGGTAAGTAATTAAACATCATTATTATTAAAATTAATCTTTTATTTTAATAAAGAAAGATTTAACAAACCTTGGATTCTTAATTGCTCTCCCAATACTGATTAAACACCCTGAGTTAAGTTCGGATTTATAACAGTATCAATCATTCTAAAAACCCCAATATGCCCTATGAAGTTCATTGAGCATATTCTTAGTTTTTGAGGAATAATAATCTGCCTTTCTTTAAACATACAATCATTTTTTATATTTAAAACATACATGTGTCTTATATTCTTTTATTTGTGAATAATTTCCCCTTTATTCTACCAATGTAGCTCTTTTTATTATATCTAAATCACTAATAATTTTTTGATCCATATTATCAATCCACATTAAAAAAAACAAATGACATCGTCATTAATTAATCTAGATAACCCATCAGTAATTATCCTATCTTCCCCCTTCCTATAATTAATATTAAAATCATATTCGGTTAAACACAAAGTTCAATTTTGTAACCTTGGTGACATTATAAAATTTCACCTGATATGTCTCAAATATATTAACCAGCGGTTTATGATCTGTATAAATCTCAAACATCCTATCAACTAAATATTCTCTCCATTTTTTAACTGCCAAAAATATAGCTAATCCTTCTTTTTCAGTAATCTAATAGTTTTTTTCAGCACCTGACCATACTTTGAACGAAATTCAATAGGCCTCTCATGACCATCTTATTCAACATGGAGTATGACTGCTCCCATACTCTTATTCGAAGCATCAGCCGAAATAAAAAACTTCCTACTTCTATGATAATGTGCTAAAATAGGCGCATTACACAATCTTTTTCTAATCTCACAAAAGCTTGCTTTTTTATTAATCCCTCAATAAAAAGGTTTCCACTTCTTAAGCAAATCATATAAATTATATACCAATTTCGAAAAACCTTTGATAAATTAAAATAATAATTCAAGAGTCCCAACCAGGATTAATTTTATCTTTATGTTCAGTCATTATGCTAATAAGTTCAATTTTTTTAATTGGCTCTATGCCAGGGGCGGACTAGCCATAAGACCCGGTGGGCTTTTTGCCCACGAGGCCGCGAGAAAATGTCGATTTTTGAGGCCGATAAGAGGAAAATATCAAAATAGAGGCCAATTAGAAAAAAATTATATTTATGTTCACATTATTTTCTCTTATCATTTATTAATTTTAATGATATCTCTATGATTTGAATATCACATTCCTTGAGAATTGTCATGTTGTTTACTATATTGCAATACATAATATATCAATAAAGTGGCTTGATGCTACACATCATTACCATGTTCTTTTCTTTGTTTTTTTCAAATGAAGTGAAAACGCTTCCGTTTGAGTAGAGTGTAAGCTAAGTTTTGATTAATTTATTATATTATATTTTTATACATTGATTTATTGTAGGAATAATATAGCCAACATTTCTTGTTCGTAATTCATTAAAATAAAATAAAATCCAGGTCGGTGAATCAGATAAAAGGATGGATGCTTGGGTGAAACAGAATAATTCATCTGGACAAAATAAGTTGAGAAGGCTGCAAAAAATAGGTGAGATAAGGTGGTGGGCAAGTGAAAAAGCCCTTAGATGGATATATGAGAGAGCTTGCTCCCAATAACGATAAAGGCACTTCAATTTATAAAGATAATAAATAATTTGAGATAAAAACTTGATAATTTTTAAGACTCAACAGCTAAAATATATTTGGAAATTTTAAAATAATGTGGCCTCTGTCATATCTTCAAACTAAAAAAATTAGGTACTTTGTCAGCATGGAAAATGAAAACATCGATTCAAAATAAAGCAAAAAAATGGCTGCTAATTTAAATGAAACATTTTCATATTTATAGCTTCCGGAGAGTATCTGGGTACAAAATGCTCTGTTAAAAGATCGAATAGGACGAGTGAAGAGAATATATAGTGACAAATGCCAAGATGAACGTCCTCAAGAATCGATTGACCTTTATAGGTTCGAA